AAAAAAAAAAAATCAGACGTGAAGACCGCATTTCTTAAGTACAAACTAAGCGCTCCAACCTCTCCATTGGTGTTGCCTGGTTCAGCAAAAACCTGTTCCTTCTGGTTCCTCCCAACTCTCCATTGAAGACCCTCCCTGGATCCGGGAGTGGGAAGCACCAGCTCCAACCCTGTGGTCCAAGCTGTATACCCAGGTCCACGAAGTACCAGGATGTCACTTCCCTCCTTCCTTCTTCCTGCCACTCACCCGGATTCCCCCAGCACCCACTGACTAGAGGCACCCCAGGGCCCAACCAGGCCTGGTTTATAACCAGAAACTGGAGTTTTCTCTTGGCTAACCAGAGCCCAGAGCTATGGCACAAACCCAGACAGGTGACCTAAATGGTGTAGGTTTCCAGTGTGACCCAGGTCCCTGGGGCTTGCTGCCAGCCCTGGACAGCTCACAGAAGAGGGAGCAAGCAACGCCACTCCCAACTGACTGCAGACCCCATGCTTACCATTCAGTTCACAGCCCAGGAGCTCAAAGCGTAGGGTGCAGGCCCTGTAGCAGATCATGGGGTACAGCCTCACATACTGTATCTCCAGCGGGGTGCTGAACAGGTTGAGCTTCAGGCCCCTGTTGTTGACGTTACCCTCGAACACCTAGCAGGAGGGCCAGGACTGGGGTCGGCAAGGACTAGGCAGAGCCAGTGGGGCTCGGGGAGCAGCCCTTCCCCGAAGCCCTGTCCCCAAAGCAGGTTCTCCACCTGCACCTTCCCTGGTCATCCTGGGGACCAGATATAAACCCTCACATTTCACAAAAGGTTACACATAACCTAGAAGTGCCTCTGGCCAGGAAACAGCACTTCTTTCATGTGCCACTTTATTAGGGCAAGTTTTCAACAGCTAGAACCACACAGATGCACCACAACCATGTCGTGAATAGCAATGACATTCTTGGCTGTGTATACAGTCTCCACAACTGTACCCAGCAACTCTGAAGGTTCAGAATGAAATCCAGCTCCACTGACTCTACTCCCCCAGCAGGTCATGGCACCATTTGGGGGCACTCTGTTCTCATCTATAAAGTGGAGCTAGGACTTATAACCACAGAACAGATACAATGGTTTGATTGATTTCTAGACACCAGAATACAGCTCATGGCCAATCACCCAGGGTGCCCTTGCATCCGTCTACCCTAGAACTCAATCGGGGCTACTAAACCTATCAGCCTTACCTTGTCCCCAGAGCCCTCTTCATCCTGGATGAAGTGGAACTTGCGTCCATCCGGGCTGTAGGCCACTTTGAAGGTCCTCACATACTCTGCACTGCCTGCTCGGCTGGCGCCCTGTGTCACCACACCGGTCACCCGCATCTTCCGAAGGAGGTTCACCTGTCCCAGGGCACAGACGACAGCACCTCATTTCCAAGATCCAGGCCCACTGGCCCCCTAAGCCCCATAACCCAGGGGAGGACCAAGGCCTCATCCTTGGCAGCCACTCCTCTGCATGGCTTCCACCAGGTGGCAACCACCAGCCACCTCCACCAGATCACTGGACCTTGACCCACAGCCACTTGTCACTTCACTGGGCCTGGGTACAACTGCCCCCAAACACAAGACACCTTCTCACAATCATCCCTCCCACCTCTCCAGCTCCACACGAGTCCCTTCCACACCTGGATCCAGGGCTTCCTGTCGTAGTTGCTGGCCGTCCAGGCGTTGACGATGCCTGAGCGGTGAAGCCGGGCCAGCTCCGGAGCCCAGCGCTGCAAGCCCAGGAAACCCAAGTACAGGGACGACGCAGAGATCTGTGAGTCAGCAATGGCGCCCCCCTCCATGCCCAGGCCCGTCATGCACTCTACGAGGAAGGACAAGCCAGTCAAGACCACTGAGGAAGTCCAAGAGCCCAGCAGGGACCAGAGGACTAGACAACAAGGACACAGAGGGTACAGCCCCCCAGGGCACCTCAGTCCCTCACTCGGAGCAGGACCGAGAGGGACAGCAGGCCTGGTACCCTGCACTGCCAGAGAACCACGCAGGGAAAGGCATGGCACAGCCTGCACCAGACAGCAGCAGCTGTGGAGTGGACCAGACCGTGCGGAAGAACACCAGTGTGACACTCTTCCTTGGTATCCCAGGGGGTTGGCCTTGGGAAAGGGAGGACCTTAGACACTCGCGAACAAAACAAAGCAATACATGAACCTGCCTGGAAATTCCAGAATCATCAGTTTCTGGGTGATATGTGAATGCCGTTCTAGTTTTCCTCGTACTCTGCACAGCCACAGGTTCTCACCCACCGGCCAGCTGTGAGCGTGCCCCACCCAGGGTGGCCCCATTCACCACTTTATCACCCTAGTGACATGGTACCAAGGACTCAGGACGGGACCATGCCTGACAGCAGGTCCCTCCTCTCCTACTCCAGGGGTCCCCAAAGCACGTGCCAGGGTGAGGACACAGGGACGGGAGTGTCCTGACAGCTGATGCTAAGCTCAGTACCAGCACTGTCTCTTGCTTCAACAGTGGCCAAGCCAGGCATCCAAGATCAGGGACAGCCAGGGACCTGGCTCTGCCTCCAGGACAATCCTCACAGCTCCTGGGGCCACCCTGAGGGACCCCTGTGCAACCTTGGTGTTGGCTCCAGGGAAACATCACACAGGACAGTCAAGGCAGGGCCTCCACCACAGCCTGTAGGGTCACCTGCCACCTCATGTCCTAGATGTGACTGCATCCAGCCAGGAAGACCCCAGGTCAAGAAGTCAGGTGCGGTGGTGCATGGCTGTAAATCTCAGGACCAGGAGGGTTGAAAGGTGGAGCCCAGCCTTAGAAGTTAGCAACCTACTGAGACCCCACCTAAACAAAATAAAACCTGGGTGCCACCCTCAGTATCTAAGCAGCCAGGTGGGAGATGCCACACAGGTACACACACAGTTGCCTCAGCTCTCAGGGTAATTATGGCTGCGGCTTCTCCCAGGCTGTCTGCCTTAGCAGCCCCACCCCCATCCTCTGAGGGCCTGGTTTCAGTCCAGGCCTTCTCTGAGGTGCAGGAAGAGGTAGGAGGGAGTCCTGGGCACCCTGCCTGCTCCCCTAGCCCCAGCCCCCACACCCTGATCCCCAGAGTGCTGCCCATGTCTGCCTGGAGAACAGAGGCCACCTGCCCCTGGCCCCAGACATTTGTGGCCTGACCTGCTGAACAGGGGGAACATGGAGCCCTCACCCACCCATCCTGGGCACAACATGCCCCCAGGGACAGGAAGTCCTTGGCAGTCGACCACAGGGTGGGGGACTCAGGCTGGGCACCCTGACCATCCTGCGACTGAGTGGATAATCCAGCTGGTTGGTCAAGGAGATCACTAGCCCCTCCTCACACAATGGGCCTCTGGCCTCTGACCAGAGGGGGCAGTCCAGCCTGCCCAGGCCTCCACCTCTTCCCCATAACATCTGTGACAAGGACATAGGTCAAATGTGGGCCAAGCCTGATTTACTGAACTCCTGGATCCCAAAAGATAAGGATGTTTCTTTGCATTCATGGGCATGAAATTCCTCACAAATTAACTGACACTGTAGCTCCTAGTGACTCAGGTGCACTCCCAAGACCTCCAGGGTCACCACATCCCTTCACTCCCAGGCGGTGACATCAGGCCTGACTGGCTGTCCCAGGAGCAAGGGCCAGATCAGAAAAAAGGACACCACCACCCTTTCCCCCTTCACTGAGGCTCTGCCCCTGCCTCAGTGTCTCCCCAGGGATGGGGCCAGCTGCAAGCAGCACAAAGGGACTCACTTGACTCGCAGTGGATGCCCACGTAGCCCGGAGGGCAGTCACAGGTGTATGAGGTGAACACATCCCCTCGGTGGGAGCTGTCCATGACCTGACACCCAGCATTGTGGTAGCAGGGATTGGGCGAACAGGGACCTCGGAACAAGAGGCAGAAAAGATGATGGGTAGGTGACAGAAGTGGCAGGCGGGGCTGGCACACAGTGACCCTCTGCCCATCCTCAGTCCCCTCCTCCAATAGCTGTGTGCAGCCTGCGCCACCAGGAACCCAGCTGTGCCCAAAGACAGGGCCTGCCCAGATTTCAAAGTAGCCTAGGAGTTTTGGGGGCAGTGGGGAGGGGATTGCCAGATGTCATAGGGAGAGAAGTGGGGACCACCGCCCAGGAGGGGAGAGGCCAGAAGTTGATGCAATGGGCAGGCCCCTGTAGGGTCCTTTACCTTTCTCTGTCTCATTGCAAAGGAGGCCTGTGAAGCCCTCAGGGCAGAGGCAGTAAGAGACACTTTCCTGGTCCAACAAGCAGGTGCCACCATTCAGGCAAATGCTGGAGTCACAGAAGTCACCTGCAACAGCAACCCCACCTCAAGCACCCCATAAACTTGTGGGGGACCAACAGCCACATGTACGCAAGGCTCTAAGGTAAAGCCAGTTGCAGGCCAGGAACTGATGGTGTGGTGGCCTGGGAGCTGGACCTCTGACACAGGGCTCCCCCAGGGAGTGCGAAGTTCACCAGCGAGGGAACATTTGAGCTGGGTCTAAATGATTGGGCAGAGCCAGAGAGATGGCTCAGTAGAATAAGCGCTTCCCTGGCAAGTGTAAGGGCCTGAGTTCAATCCTTGGTTCCGCAAAAAAAAAAAAAAAGACTGGGCAAGGGCAGACTGGGGCTTAGGGACCAGCACTCCAGAGAAAAGTAGAAGTGGGGGGGTATGAGGTACTGGAGAATAAGATGAGGTAGAAGAGCAGGGTGGGAGGGACCTTAAAAATGACAAGCTTCTCTCTCTCAGGCATGGTGGCGTGCAGCTATGATGCCAGCACTTGGGGAACTGAAGCAGGAGAATCAGAAGTTTGAGCCCAGACTGGGCAACTTGATGATACCTGGTCTCAAGACAAAAACAAACTATTACTTTTCAGTGGGCCGGAAAAGTAGCTCAGTGCAAAGGCCTCAGGTTCGGTCCTCAGGACCAAAATGACAGGCAGCTTTGGAGTCTGCACCTGGATTAGTAGCCTCTGACCTTCCTCCAACCTCTCCAACACAGCCCAACAGGAAAATTTGGTCTCCTTCATGCGAAGGGGAGTGGAAAGCCTGACCCATCCTGGAAAGGGAAGGCCAGACAGCCCCCCAAGAGTGCAGAGCCTGAGGGACTCCCTGAGGTGAGACAGCCTGCAGCCCAGCCACCTGGATGAATTTGAGAGACTGGGGTAAGGGCCGAGGAGGCAAGTAGCGAGGATGGGGAGGCCACCGCGGCTCCCAGATGAGGTCGTGAGTGACAGACGTGCACAATCACCTCACCTGAGAACACAGGAGCACTCTGGGCTGCAAGTGTCCTCCACCCAAACCTGCCATTTGGGTTGAGCGGCAAAAAACTCACCACCCCCTCCCCCGCCAGTCACCCACCCAAGTCAGCAGCTCTCCTACCTCCCAGAACCCTGTAGCCCCGGCGGGCTCTCTGCGCATGAACGCCTGGCCTCCTCCGCGGGGCCCAGGGAGCTCAGGCGGCTCCCAAAGGGCTATTAGTCACTGGCTTTAAATAGCAGGTTAATCCCTTCTGACCCGGCGGGGGGGCGAGGAGGGCACAGCTAGGCCCAGGAACCTGGCCTCCTCTTCCTACCCTCCAGGGGCTGCTCGCTTGTGGGGTAAAAAAATGGTCCAGAGGGAAAAGAGTGAGGTCATCCGCCTAAGGTGGCCGCCGTGTCTCCCCCGGAAAAGAGCCAGATCGCCCTTTTCAAACTCGCCCAACTGGGGGCGCCGGCTGGGCGGGGCTGAGGGGAGGGACGGAAAGGGGCGGTGAAGCCCTGGACATCTTTCCGGCTGGCCAGAGGGCTCTACAGACTTCCGCTGCAGCCGGGGTAGCAGATATTTCCCCGAACAGAGCTGGAACCCTGCTGGGACTTCCTGATTCCCTGGACCCCATTTCTTCGAGACGAAGGGGAACTGCCTGAGGGGCCTTTGCTGACACCCCACGGCGAAGAGAATGGGGCAGCCTGCGGGAGGCCCATCGTCCCCCGGGCCTCCGAGGGGGAGGAGGACCAAGAAAGATACCGCAGGCGGCCAAGGCCACTGGAGGGAGGGAAGGAGGGAGGCGGTCCCCCGGCCAGCCAGTCTGTACAGCTGCCACCTCCTCCTTTTCCTTTATCTGATCCGACACGGACGGGTAGGGGCGCGAAAGTCCAAATCACAGCCGGGCAGTGGTGGCGCATGCCTCAACTCTCAGCACGCTGAGAGGCTGATGCAGGGGGATCCCAAACTCTAGCCCAGCCTGACCAACTTAGTGAGAACTTGTCTCAAAAAATATACATATATAAATAAACAAAGTCTGGGAATATAACGCAGTGCGAAGGCCTTGGGTTTAATCCCCAGTACTTCCAAAAAGAAAACAAAGTATGTCCATAGTGGGGTGCAACGTGCGGCTCAGGAGGGAGCTGCGGAGACCGCGGTGGGAGGAGACGCAGCTCCGCACGAGCCCCGGGGCCTCCCCGCGGCCGGAGCGTCGGATGCAGATCCATGGCCTCATTTTACAGACGGCAAAAGAGAGGCCGACGCAGCGGATTCCTTTGTTCTGTGTGCGCCACATCCTGGGGCCGGCCGTGCTGTCACCCAGTGCCCGCGTCCCGCCCAGGGCGCCGGCCGCTGTCCCCTCCCAGGGCCCCACGGGGACAGAAGCTGCGGGACACACACCCTCCGGGCGCAGCCGAGAGGAGCCTAGCGCGGATCCCGGCGCCGGAGTTTGTGCGCACAGGGGCGGGGAAGCCCGGGCGACGGGGAGGGCAGCGACGGCGACTCACCCGAGGCGGCCAGGAGGCCGGAGGCGCAGAGCAGCGCGCCGCAGAGGGCGGCCAGCAAGCAGTGCTCCGGCATGCTGATACCGGCGCGGGTCCTCGCTGCCTGTGTGCCCGGCCCCGAATAAATCTCGCGGTTCAGCACCTCCCACCGGCCGCCGGCCCCACCCCATGGGCGGGAAAGGCAGGCGGGGCCCCCGGAGCGGCGGTGAAGCGGAGGGAGCGCAGCGCCCGGGACCCACCCCTCGCCAGCCACGCCCCACAGCGCGCGGCCCTCCGGCGGCCGCTGCCTGATTTGTGGGTGAGTCGCGCAAAGGAAAACTTCGAAAGGACTTTTTTTTTTTTTAAGTTTTAGTCTTCGAGGAGGACTGAATGACTCACGTCTGTAATTCTAGCAACGCAGTTTTGAGAGGCTGAGGCAGGAGGTTGCAAATTCGAACCTGTCTTAAAGTTTAAAAGTAAAGCACAGTGACTATGAGTGGCGGAGCACTCATCTGTCCTAGATTCAATCCTCCCCAAAATAATGGGGGAATAGACTCAGTGTGGAGGCCTGGATTCAATCTCCAGACCCAGGAGAAAGGGTTCAGACTTTTTTTTTTTTTTTTTTTTTTTTTTTGCCGTACTGGGAAATGAACTCAGGACCTTGCACTTGCCAGGCAAGCGCTTATTCTACTGAGCTATCTCCCCGGCCCCAGTTTAGTCTTCTTAAGAGACAACTGCTTACTCTTCATCCCCGAAGGGAGACTCCAGTGAGTGCCGAGTTTAACCGATCATCAGATGGGGCGGGATGGAGTCCTGCTCCAGGCCCAGGCGTTTGTGTGCGCACAGTGTGAATTGCGGGGCCTTCTTGGTGACCCCTATCAAAATGACCAATGCTGGCACCAAGACGTAGCAGTTTTCTCGCCGGCAGTCACTCAACCTAAATCCCACGTGCAGAATGACACCGGCAGTAAAAAGGGGTGAAAGAGGAATGTATGCGCTTGATCTGTAAAGGTTCCAAAGTTAAATGTCCCAGGATTTTGGGACCATAAGAGCTTCCCGCCCCTCCACCTCTGTCGTCCGAGGCAGGAAAGACAATAGGAAGGAAATGAGCCTACTGCGGTTGGTTGCAGAGGGACAAGGACAGAAGGTAAACCCGAGAGTCGCGCTGATGCTTTTGTTAAAATCACCTGTGAGCACTGTCTGTTTAGAAAGAAAGGACCACACACACCTGTAATCCCAGCACTCAGGAGGCTGAGGCAGGATTACCCTGAGAATGAAGCCAGCCTGGGCTATTCAAGGCCAGCCTGCACTACATAGCAAACCCTCTCTCTCAAAAAAAAAAAAAAAAAAAAAAAAATATTTGAGTACTAGTGTTCCATCCAACGAGCAAAATGAAAAAAAAATACAAGAGAAGCCACATGCTGGCCAGAGGGCCTTTTAAAAACTTCCTCCCCAGGTTCCTTGGCACACGCCTGTCATGCCAACATTCCTGAGACTGAGGCAGGAGGGCTGCAAGTTCCAATCCAGTGCAATTTAGGGATTTAGCAAGACAATATCTCAAAATAAAAAAAAAACAAAAAGGCTGGGGATGTAGCTCAGCGCAAAGACCCTGAGTTCAGTCCTCAGGACTCCAGAAAAACTATTTTGGAAAGGCCACTTGTGATCAATTTAGTACTTACAGGAAAAGTGTTGAATAATACCTGGAGTCCTTCCTGAGAAACACTCAAGAGCTTAGGAGGAAAAGGGAACTTCCTCAACCAGATAAGAAAATACCTTTGAAAAGCCACAGCTCGAGCCATGGCTAACAACAAAAGACTCGGTGTTTCCTGAAAGTCGGGAACAAGACAAGGACTTCTGCTCTCACTGCCTCTATTCATTACTGTCCAAGAGATTCCGTGGGGACAGTGAGGTCAGAGCTAGAAAATTAACATCCCTGGAGAGGAGGAAGTAAAACTATCTCTGCCGCTACTTGCAGGTGACAAGATCTTGAGCACAGAAAACCCTGAAGGAGCCGCACACGAAAGCGACTATGAAAGCTGTTGAGTGACCAGACGTCGTTGCATACACACACATGTAATCCTACCTACTGTGGCTGATGTCGGCGGAATCGGAAGTTCAAGTCCAGCCTGGGCAATTCAGGGAGACTCCATCTCAGAATAAATTTGTTTGATACAGGGTCTCACTACACAGCTTAGATTCGTAGTGATCCTCCTGTCTTTTAGCCTCCCCAGCGCTGGGATTACGGGCATGCACCACCACGCCCAGTCTCTATAGCTGCACAGAGTGCCCCGGGGGCAGGGCCGGCACAGCTTGTGGTGCCAAGGATTAAACCCCGGTCCCTGCACTTGCCTAAGCAGGTGCATAGTCGGCTGAGCTGTCTTGCTAGCCCTAAAAGAAAACTTTAAAGCACAGGAAGTCAGGCTGGCGGTGCCTGCCTGTGGTCCCAGCACTCTAGGAGGCTGAGGCAGGAGAACCACGAATTCAAGCCCAGTCTGGGCAATTTAGTGACTTAGGGAGACCCTGTTTCAAAATACAAACTAAAAAATTTTTTTCAAAGTTTGGAAAATAGGTACTGGTCTATCTCCAGTACAAAAAACAAAAGAAGGAGGAGGAGGAGGAAGAGGAAGAGGAGAAGGAGGAAGAAGAAAGAAAGACACTGAACACCCATAATACAATGAAATACAAAAGTTGTTCCTCTATGTCCTGTCCTCAGGAAAGTCTGTGGTATGTCAAAGCACAAGGCTCATCTTGGTGAAAAATGCTTTCATGTAAGAAAGCTTTAAATTTTGTCTACCTCTCCCCCAAAAAGTTTTGTTTGGGTGCTGACCTAGACAAGAAGCTTAGGTGGTGCTAATTGTACACAAATCTCAAGACTATAACTCACTGTGCTTCCCATCTGATTCACTGCTTTAAAGTTGAATGTCCACTCATCTATACCAAATCAGTAGACTGAATTTTCTCCCCTCGGAAGTGTCAACTAGATTGGAGTCAGATTAATCTCACTGTTCAACTTGTTTTTGGATTTTGTTTTTTTGAGGCAGGATCTCCTCTGTAATCTAGGTTGCTATGTAGCCTGGGCTGGCCTAAGACTTGCAAA